GGGGGGAAGGGGTGGTGGTGGTGGTGATGGTGGCACTCAGCGCATTTGGTCCCTTGTCCCATAGTGCCTGTTCCTGGCTCTGCCGGGCAAACCAATCCAGGATTTTGATGGGAAAAATGATGCAATCAGCCATTACTTGACAAACTTTTATTTCATTTTAGCCTTTATGATATCTTGCCCCCCACCCAACTCTGGAAGCAGCCTGACGCCATCTTGTGCTTTCGAATGGGGAGCAGAGTGGGGGTAATAACCACTGGCCCCCAGGGAGACCAGGGCTGGAAGCAGCCTGACGCCATCTTGTGCTTTCGGGATGGGGAGCAGAGTGGGGGTAATAACCACTGGCCCGAGGGAGACCAGGGTGACTGTACCTTTAGAGCTTGTAAACCTGCATCAGGACTGGGGCCAGCCTCTCATCCCACCAGCCGGGTGTGGCCAGGACACGGGCTCGGGGCAGCTCCTAAAGGCCGGAGACCCAGAGCCTATGGACAAGAGCTGCCTTCCCCACCCCCACTGCTCAGGACTTTGGAAAGAGCGGAACAGGAACCGTACCAAGGCCCAGAGGCACCTGCCACAGCTCAGAGCTGGCCTGGACAAGGCAACGAACCGGGTGAGATTCTTGAGATGCCTGTCTCCAGCCAAGACTCCTGGCCCTCTCCCTGGGCTGCCAGCTGCCCTCTCTCACCCCCAGCCAAGCTGAGAGCCAGGCACCCTGTTCCCACCAGCTGACATGAAACAGAAGTACTGAAAATGCCAAGTGTTGTTGCTAAAAAACAACACCACCTAAGTATTAAAAATTAAATTAAAACTGAAGCCCCAGTCCACTGAGCCAGCAGTGAGCTGGTGATTGCAGACACACAGACAGCCCCCATTCTTCCCCGAGCCCCAGGGCCTCTGAAGATAGCAGGAAGGGGCCTCGGGGCCCCTCTGGAGAATAAAGTTGGGGGGTGTCCTCAGGAGGTCCCCAGTGTGGGGCACTGAGGACTGTAAACATGACCCAGCTTGAGGCCCAGGGGTGTCCCAGCCCCCTGAGACTCTCCCTGGATGAAGAATAGCCACTGTGCTGACGACAACAGTGAAACAGCAGTCGGCCTCCCCATTGGAATAACGGGGGGAGGAGGGGGGGCTGGGCTGTGATCGGGGAGGGGATTCCAGAAGCCAAACACAGCTTCCCAAGGGCTTCTTTGCCCTACAGGGTCTGCACCGAGTCTGCACCGGGGCCCTTTCTGGGCGGTGAGTCTGCTCGTGGCCACCCCTCCCTAGTGAAACCTGCTGTGAAGTCAGCTCCAGCCACGGCTGCCTAGCCAGACTGGGCCAGGTCGGACGAGCTCCCAAGAGGCCTCGTCCCAGGACGGGGGTGGGAGAGCTGGCTCTGGGAGAGGAGACTGGGGATGTGGTTAAGGACTGTCGGGAGGGCCGGTGAGAGCCACCACGCCAACACAGGCACGGCCCAAGGCCAGAGGGTCGCTACTGCGCCAGGAGCTCCACCTCAAGGTCTGGCCGAGGCCCAGGACGAAGCCCTGCCTCCGCCCCACTCCAGGCCAGGAGCCCTTGGGACCAGGCAATCTCATCATACCGGTTACGCCTTAAAACCTGCTGCCACCTTCTGCGCCTGCTGCCTCTGGAGGCGGGCAGGCAGGAGGCCTGGCGCCAGGCCAGCTTCTCAGGAGCCATGGGAGCAAAAGGAGGTCAGACCCAGGTGAGGCGGGCACCCGAGCCTTCTCTGTCCGTGCTGAGGCCCCGTCCGGGACCAGGGCTGACTGGGCATTTGCCTTCGGGCCACAGAACCTCGCCAGGTCCCAGCCCCCGCAGCCAGGACCTGATGCCAGCAGCAGGCCTTCACTGGGTGAATCGGGCTGGGCCTGGGCTAGAGTTCCTTCAGAACCAGCCCTCGGGCATCCTGAGGTTCAGCCAGACCTGGGATTTTCCTCAGAATCCCGGGATTCTGAGGAAAGGCACAGTGACCTCCTCCGAGTCCTAAAGTGCCTTTCGGATTCCAGCATCTTCTCAGAGCTCACGTCCCACACAGAGGCCTCAGTTCCCTCGGGACTTGACTGTGATTTCCCTCAGGACTGGGCTCCCCAGTCTCAGGCTTAGGACGCGAGTCCCTCCAGGACTGGGACCCTGGTGACCTCAGGGCTGGGCCCGGCTCCTGAGCCACTGGCTCCTCAGTGCCCGGACCTCCTGCCCGTACCACTCGTGCAGCTGGAGGAAGGAGGCTGAGTCCAGAGGCCCATTGGGA